TTGAAACTGACAAGCACACATGCAAAGTAAGTGAATTTTGATTAATAGTTTTTTCAGAAGTTTTTATCTGAACTAAAGTGTCAATAGCTTTGTTTCGCCATTTCACTAAATTTATAACATGATACAAACAACAGTTACCGTATTTCTCAGCTTATAAAAACCCAAGTAACTCATAATTCTCAGATAAAAATTGCTTTTAAATCAGGAGTGATGCTATACAACCGCTTGGCTTTTCGACTCCTTCGTCAAGTACTCTTGGACATTCCTGTAATTGATGGTGTGCATACAGGGCTCACTGGGTCATTCCGTGCCAATTCAACGGGCCATGGCACCATATGTCACAGATTTTGTTCAAACTTGGTGGTAAGGTTCTGTTAGCTGTTCCATACATGATAATCGAAAGCAAAAATTCAAATTGCTTTCTGTTGTGGTGTTACGGTAGCACAAAGTTCAATGAACTTTGCAACAACAAAAAGGGGAAACTGACTGGCCCATAGAATAAATCACTGACTTTAAGGACCCATATCTTGAGATTGAAATTGATTTGGAAGCTGAATTTGAATACATGGGTACAACTACTGTAGTAGAGCATGAATATAGGAAAATAATGCCCATCATGCCTCACTCCTTAATTTTAGGGGGGGGGGGGTTGTCAAAAATGATCCGTCATGATGCGTCACATGTATTTTTTCAAATTTTAAAGGCCCCTAATCTTGGACCTTTGCATTAACTGTTTTTTATTTCAATTTTAGTGTAATCTCTGACTACTAATATTGACATTTATGTGAAAGACAGAACAATTGTAGATGTTTTCCCTGATTTGGGTAAACCCCAAAATGGCCCCAGCCAGAAATCCGCCTTAAAATTGGCCCAAAACACGGCGGGGGGGGGGGGGGGGGGGGGGGGGGGGGGGGGGGGGGGGGGGGGGGGATATAATTTTCTAGGTATTTTTAGGAAAGAGAAAATTTGGAAGATTTTCACAATGTTTCTAAATGTGTTTGTTCACAATTCTTACAGGCTGTTATAATGGAAGCATAATTTGGCTGAACCTCCAGAGTGCAGTATGCACATGCAAATACGCCATACTTGTACTTTTTAAATGAGGGAGCTCTAATTGAAGAAATGGGGGGGGGGGAAGGGGTCACATACATTAGCAACTGATCTTTTATTGAAATACATTCAAACATTTCTCCCGCAAATTGTAAAATGCAAATTGTAAAATGTATTGAAATGTTTTCAAATTGGCACATGAATTGATTTAATGTACATGTACATGTACCGGTAGGTATACCCTAAAAGTGAAATGACGGTGACCTGAATTGTTTCAGATTGAGGACACTCTTATTGCTGCATTGCAAATACTACAGGATACATGGTCAATGTTAATTTGAAATGTGCTACTCTCTGAAGAAAGATTATCATTAAGTAAGCAATCACTGACATTTTCTTACAAGAATTGGTTTCCATGTGGTGATGGTGGTACACCATAAAAAGGATGAAAAAGATATTTACAGCTAAAAAAAACATGACTGGTAATCTTGCGGAGCATCTCGTTTTCACATGCATAACGTCCGTTTCTCCAACATCACAGTGGATTTTTCTAAGTGGTCATCCATGTTTGTAAAGAGTGAAGTTACAACTGCTAGTGCATAGTTATTTCAAAGGGCTTTGGCAAGAAACTTCACAGAGTTTCACCAATACATTCCAAATTTGAAAAGCCATGTCCGAAAACGTAACGTCCGTAACACTCATAGCAACGATTATGTCTAATTAATTAATCAGGTTACCTCTTAGTTCACCATACCATGTTGTACATTTGGGCCTAAGTCTGAAATGTGCTGAGTGAATAAAATTTGCTTTGACCCCAAATATGTTATTTTGGTTTGTCAAAGTTTCTAGTCGCCTCTGAATGTAACGTCCGTAACGGTGGAATTGCCCATTTGCAGCAGACCTCATTTATTACATGTATTAACAAAAACAGGAGCTTCCTCATCAACCCAAATTTTATCAACTTTCGAGGATCTAATTCTACTATGAAACCTAGAAGTTGATCAGGTAGATTGGTTTGCAGAAAAAATAAGCAAATTAAGAAGCTGAACTATTTATTTTTTGGCCTTATTAATAAGTTTAGTATTTAAAATGTTTTGGAAGGTTTCTTGTACATGGACTATGCAATAGAGGACATGTACAGCAAGCCCCAATTAAAAACAATTTTAGTATTTAAAATGTTTTGAAAAGTGTATTGAACATGGACTATGCAATAGAGGACATGTACAGCAGGCCTCATTTATTAACAATTTTCAATGTTTTGTAATGTGTCTTGTACATGGACTATGCAATAGAGGACATGTATAGCAGGCCCCATTTATTAACAATTTTAAATGTTTTGGAATGTGTCTTGTACATGGACTAAGCAATAGAGGACATGTACAGCAGGCCTCATTTATTAACAATTTTAAATGTTTTGTAATGTGTCTTGTACATGGACTATGCAATAGAAGGACATGTACAGCAGGCCCCATGTATTAACAATTTTAAATGCTTTGGAATGTGTCTTGTACATAGACTATGCAATAGAGGACATGTACAGCAGGCCCCATTTATTAACAATTTTCAATGTTTTGTAATGTGTCTTGTACATGGACTATGCAATAGAGGACATGTATAGCAGGCCCCATTTATTAACAATTTTAAATGCTTTGGAATGTGTCTTGTACATGGACTATGCAATAGAGGACATGTACAGCAGGCCTCATTATTAACAATTTTAAATGTTTTGTAATGTGTCTTGTACATGGACTATGCAATAGAGGACATGTACAGCAGGCCCCATGTATTAACAATTTTAAATGTTTTGCAATGTGTCTTGTACATGGACTATGCAATAGAGGACATGTACAGCAGGCCCCATGTATTAACAATTTTAAATGCTTTGGAATGTGTCTTGTACATAGACGATGCAATAGAGGACATGTACAGCAGGCCTCATTTATTAACAATTTTCAATGTTTTGTAATGTGTCTTGTACATGGACTATGCAATAGAGGACATGTATAGCAGGCCCCATTTATTAACAATTTTAAATGTTTTGGAATGTGTCTTGTACATGGACTAAGCAATAGAGGACATGTACAGCAGGCCTCATTTATTAACAATTTTAAATGTTTTGTAATGTGTCTTGTACATGGACTATGCAATAGAGGACATGTACAGCAGGCCCAATGTATTAACAATTTTAAATGCTTTGGAATGTGTCTTGTACATAGACTATGCAATAGAGGACATGTACAGCAGGCCCATTTATTAACAATTTTAAATGTTTTGGAATGTGTCTTGGATGGACTATGCAATAGAGGACATGTACAGCAGGCCCCATTTATTAATAATTTTAGTATTTAAAATGTTTTGGAATGTGTCTTGTACATGTACATGATGGACTATGCAATAGAGGACATGTACAGCAGGCCCCATTTATTAACAATTTTAGTATTTAAAATGTTTTGGAATGTGTCTTGTACATGTACATGTATGGACTATGCAATAGAGGTCATGTACAGCAGGCCCCATTTATTAACAATTTTAGTATTTAAAATGCTTTGGAAAGTGTCTTGTACATGGACTATGCAATAGAGGACATGTACAGCAGGCCCCATTTATTAACAATTTTAGTATTTAAAATGCTTTGGACAGTGTCTTGTACATGGACTATGCAATAGAGGACATGTACAGCAGGCCCCATTTATTAACAATTTTAGTATTTAAAATGTTTTGGAATGTGTCTTGTACATGGACTATGCAATAGAGGACATGTACAGCAGGCCTCATTTATTAACAATTTTAGTATTTAAAATGTTTTGGAATGTGTCTTGTACATGGACTATGCAATAGAGGACATGTACAGCAGGCCTCATTTATTAACAATTTTAGTATTTAAAATGTTTTGGAATGTGTCTTGTACATGGACTATGCAATAGAGGACATGTACAGCAGGCCCCATTTATTAACAATTTTAGTATTTAAAATGTTTTGGAATGTGTCTTGTACATGGACTATGCAATAGAGGACATGTACAGCAGGCCCAATTTATTAACAATTTTAGTATTTAAAATGTTTTGGAATGTGTCTTGTACATGGACTATGCAATAGAGGACATGTACAGCAGGCCCCATTAATTAACAATTTTATTATTTAGTTGCAGCAGGCCCCATTTATTACATGTATTAACAAAAACAGGAGTTTCCTCATAAACCCAAAATTTATCATCTTTCGAGGAGCTAATGTTACTATGAAACCTAGAATTTGATCAGGTAGATTGGTTGCGTTAGAAAATTCAACTGATCAGCTCAACTTTCTTTTTGGCGGAATAATGTCCTTAGATAAGATTACTGTTATGAGTGATGCGACGGACCGGCTATTTTATGCAAAGAACTTGAATAATATACTAGCACTTTCTGGCACGTTTGGGACGGTGAGTAAAAAGAAGTAAATGAAGCCGTCTTTATATTAGCAGTAGCAGAGAAAGCCACATGAACAAAAAAATTATAATAAAAACTCGTAAAGAAAAAAACAACAAGTGTATCGGTACATTATTAAAGTCATGTACCCTCCCAGAGACTAATTAATCAGGACATTGACACACTGTGGCACCAAATGCACATACTTCTTTCTATTGAAACTCTAATCTTTTCATCACAACCTCTTTGTCTGGTTTGGCCAGCCAGCGAATTTCTATTGTCGGCGCTAATAGTGGCAATTAGTGGCATTCGGACCCTTGTGCTTATAGCCTGCATAATTGGCACGCAATTGCCTGCACCGACATGCAAAGGAATGCAAGGACCAGGCCAGGCGCCTGGCGTGCCGGTCTTGTGACAGGTCTTGACTACAACACTCTTGCCTTCTTTTGTCTTTGTATAAGTTCCTTGCTACATGTAGGAGCATTATCATTTATTTTAAGTAAAATTTGGCAATTCTGGAATGTAAATAAAAAAAATATAACTAACCTGTACTCAACACCCTGGTGGTTGAAAAAGAAAGTGTAATCGTTATCGTTGTTGCAATTTCCCTTGCCCAATTTCCCTCTATACTCCAGCAGGAAGTCCCCCTTGCTGAAATGCTTAGTGGTGAAAAGACCATAACCTGTATACCAACAAGAAATAAAGGTCAAACACCACAATTGGTCACTCATAAAAAGTATACACACATGTGCGAGTTGATAAGAATTGGACCCACATTTTTTTTCCCTCTTTGTTTTGCCAAGTTGATTGCCAAGAGACTTCATTCAATTTTGAGTATAGCTCAGTCGGTAAAGCGTCTGTACAGTATTCCGGAGGTCACAGGTTCGAATCCTGCCCCTGCCAGTCTTTCTTTGTTAATTCTTTGAAATGTATGCAAGATGATTACCTAGTCAGTTTCTCTTGTGTTTTATCTTTGTGTTAAGTATAAAACTTATAGTTATACATTTTTAAAAGAATCCCTGTTATCTTATGACAATTTATTTTTAAATGCAGATGATTTTGGCATGGAATTAATGACCAAAACAACACAGTACCTACAATACACGTTTGTTGGCCTACATGGACTATAGTATGTTACAAGAGGACCCCTGTGTGGACCCTTCAAACTCAAATGGATTTAGGAATTAGGCTTTATTACACAAAGGTTATTTGCCTTTTGCTTGCCAAAATCCTTAAAAAATGCCTGGTTAATTTTGCTAGATCAGTAAATTTCAGGACCCCTGATAAACTTCATTTGAGAAATCAAAGGTGCATCCCACGGTCATGATGGAATCCCGATGTTGTTACAACTTTAAATTTAGTAACCAACTGTCACACAAATTGACTGATACATACATTGTATTACTAACCAGAATGCGTAAATATGTATAACACTATCGTTTAGTAATACAGTATCGGTCAATTTTACTACGTACATTATATCAGTCATATCAGTACATTATATCAGTCAAACGTGAGTGAGTATAGCCATTTATTGGTTTTTATAACTGTCTTCAATCACATGTTCTACTTACCAACACAGTCATTGATGTACCTCCTCTCGAAGCCTACTTGATCACTGCCATTATTGCACCATTTCTCAGCATGTTGTTGAGGCGATATTCTCCTTGTTTTTCTGCAATTCATTTTCTCTGACAAAGCAAAGAAGTACTACATTAAAGAAAATACCAAAAGATTACACAAACAAACATGCTCCATGTTTTATTTTTGCTTGCAATATGCACAACATGTCATTTGGCAATAAAAAAATCATTGATGTTCAAATTCATCAGAAATGAGCGTTGTTCTGCAAATTTTGAGAGTGAAGCAACGGCAAAACACATATCATCAGCAGACTCAGAGGAAATAAAATGATGATGATGTGCAGTACTACAAACTCTGGTCACAACGAACAAGTAACAATAAACTAGTTTGTCACAAATTTGTCAATAGGGTTTCATGTACAAAGTTCTTCATACGAAAGTACAGTATGAAATGCATTCACAGTGATCGAGATGGGTGTGCATGGAGTTAGCCTACATTTTGCACAACACATATAAAATAACCAACAGGAGAAGATCAACGGAAATTTTGCTGCTTATAAATAATTTGATCTTTTAGTGATAAAATTGAATATATGCACATAAATAGGCAGTACTGAAGCGAAATCGGCCAATTGATCCAAACGTCAAACAAATTTTGCAGTTTTCTTTCAATTTGTCCTACATGTATAATTTGTCTTCTGAAAAGTCTCTGAAATTATCATTAACGTATTACTTTCTGGTCCAAGTCATTATTTTGAGTAAAAAATTATAAAAAAAACATTGCAAAAAAAATAGTCCCCTGCGCACGAGGTCCAGAACAGCATGACAGGACAGGAGCCATATCTGCGGCAAATGGGCATGTCAATTTTACATTATACCTTGGCTACCCCGACCGTCACATTATAATCGACATGAATCGCTAAGTAGGTCTTAGCTTGGGCCTAGGCCTAGCTTATGTTGATGACATTTACAATGCAGCATGGCAGCACACACAACCAAAGATCCTACACAGCCATATCAAGCGACGTTGACGTGTACAATAGACGTCATTTTTTAGTTATGTTTTTTTAAAGCTCCGCGCACGAGCTCAGCTGGCAAAAAACGTTAACACAAAAAAAATTTGAGCGTTTGCTAAACTTACTTTATGTACATAAATGTTCATTTTGAATGTATTCGTCAATCTAGTGGAAAAAAAAAAAAACTTTATAGTAGGGAAAGTTTTTAAAAATATCTCGAAAAATGTGCGATTCATCGCAACGGGAATCGCGGCTGCCGTGGCAGATTTTCGATCTAATCGCACAGGTCCCTGGCACCGTACCCCAAGCACCGGTACGCGCAAAATGATAGGAGCCCGCCGAGTACCCATTAGTGCCGAGTCTGGGTACTCAACGGGCTCCAATCATTTTGCATGTACGAGGTGTGGAGTACCAGAGACCTGTGCGATGAGATCGAAAATCTACCGTGGCAGCTGCAATTCATTATTTTTAAAGTTTATATCCAATACAGTGGCGGATCCAGAGAGGTTATTTGCCGGGGGGCTGAGGTTGTTTGCCGGGGGGGGGCGCAACAGCTCATTCGAATGAAAAATGACCAAAATGACCTTATTTTACAAAATTTCGTTCACTGCCGGGGGGGGGGGGGGGGGGGGGTGTGCGCACGCCCCCCTAGCACCCCCGGGATCCGCCAATGCAATAGATCAATGAAGACATTCAATATGAACATGTACATAAAAGTAACACTCCATTTTTTTCACGTTGCATTTTTTTGCCGGCTGAACTTGTGGAGCTCATTCACGGAGCTATAAAAAAAACATAACTAAAAAATGATGTATTGCACACGTAAGTTCAGCAAAGTGAAAAAAAACATGTTTCACATCCCCGCCTGCTTCCTTTTTGGAGGCCGCCTGGATTTAAAAAAAAAAAATTTGAAAACGCAGTAAAAAGACACCGAAAAAGTCCAGAAATTCATCGGAAAATAAATACTTGCGAAATATGTGAGTCGAAGTTTCAGTGACAGTATACTCTAAATGACACTAATATGTTCAGTTTTCTTGTCCAACTTGTCCTTCATTTTAAAAGTGTCTTTGAACAGTTGAAACACCAACGGTTGCAGGAAATTTTAAAATGGCTGCCATCTTGAAAAAAAAAAAAAGGCCCCTCTCCTCCTTTTTATCAAAAAAACCGGACGAGAGAAACATTTATTTTTATTCGGCCTTGCGCCATCGTCGCTTGATTAAGGCCAAAAAAATAATACTTCTGCTTCCAGTTACCCGACTGACCCTATTTTAAGGCTGCGACCCTAAAAATGTTATCTGCAATTCCAGAAAAAAATTATAATAATGATTGAATAAATGTCTTTTTTTGTCTTCATAAAATACCTCTCAACAACCCTTTTTTAGTCAACAAAGCTTGTATTTATTTGTTTTCTTACTTACATTCGCTATTTTTTCAAAAGAAACCTTCGTTATTTTTACAAATTCGCTTCGCGATATAATTTTAAACTTCGCAATTCGATGTCACGGTCTAATCACGTGCGTAAACCCAGTGCAATGCGGCGATGACTGGTTCCCGCCGCGCCAATTTAGAAGATATGATGAAATTGCGGTAACTAGTCTGTGCACGGCTATGTGATCGATAGCATGGCTACAAACACGTGCACTGTCAACTGGTCGGATTCGACATCGTAAAAATGCCAAGAAAGCACCGATGGAGAAAGAACGTTTTTGCAAATTAATTCACAGAAATGATCTAGCTTGTCTGTGTATGTATTTTCTGGGTTCAAGAGTTCATTATGAGATTGCACTACTCGTATTTGGAGTGATACATGCCGCGTGTTTCCCAAATTTTTGCCCGTGAAAACAGGTCTGTCGGCCCATGGCGGGCCGCTCGCCACACATGCTCGCATCACCCACCTCGGGGTTTTGGCTAGCTCCCCGCGTCTTGACTAGCGTGTTTCCCGACATTTTCGACCGTGAAAACAGGTCTGTCGGCCCATGGCGGGCCGCTCGCCCCACATGCTCGCATCACACACCTCGGAGTTTTGGCCAGCTCCCCGCGTCTTGACTAGCGTTGTGCATATGGTGCGAACGACCTGAATTTTCCATTATTGTTTTAAATTATCGAACGTAAATATATTGACAATAATTATAGGTAGGTTTTATTCACTTTTTGTTGCCATTTCGTGTATAGCTTTCGTAGTGCAACGGAAATAGTTCAGGCTAAAACTTCGCATATAATTGGATACCCCATTCAATCTGCATAAAAAAAAAATGGCCAAAAAAAAAAAATTCCGACCGACCGACCCTATTTTTGAAAGGCATGTAATCGGAAGCAGAAGCATTTTTTTTTTTGGCCTAAGCGATGTATGCACAGTTAAGCGACATCGCTAGATCTAGTTTTGGAACCCGACCGGAGTAGGCCTAGTCCTACCTGAATTTGTGTCCGTAACTTGCTCACCTTTCCAAATTAACCGAGTAGGCCGCCTAGGGCTAGGCTACAATGCAGCTAGGCCGCATGCAGGGCAGGCTATACTTTAACGCACAAAAGCAATCGAAATACTGAACACTATGATCAAAACAAAAACCAAAACATACAAGCAAAATACTGCCAAAATCAAATTTCTAACATAAATTTGGACAACGTCCAATCGCTCATTGTTAGGACAATATTCACGCCAAGCCATGTTTGTTCGACTAGTCTAATTAAACGTTAGGCAGTGCAGTATTGGCTTCAGTACTTGTTAGGCCTACGTACGTGCGGGTGATGTAGTGACTGTACTGATAGTGACGGGACCGCGCCGCGTGATCAGGTCAAGTAGGCCTATACTGAGCGTCGAAATATTAACGTGATGTGATAAAAAGAAAACCATGAGTAAACTAGGCCTAAAAAATGTTTTTGCATAGAAAATACAATGTTTTTTTTACAAACCTGATGTGCCTTCTATCTGCCTATAATCGTTAAATCATCGCAGGCGTCCAGCGATCTGAACAATCGAATCGTGGACGTGTTTCATCCTGCAAGCGCGGGAAATGGCATGGCACGGTGCCAACTTGCGCGCTCGGCGCGCTCGAGCTCGCAGCGGCCCGGATCGGTACAGCGCGCCACGCACGTACCGCTTGAGGGCGTCCTACAGTTAGGGACGAGTACGTTCCATTTTTTTGTCACACGAGCTGAATGTAGTTCATACTTTCACGCACCGACTCCTGATCTTCACCGCCAAAACGTGGACTATCGTTAAAACTGTTGGGGAATGATAGAGCGCCCTCTTCTAGCCAAAGATATTCCAAAAATACAGCAAAAGTAACCGTGGACGTCCACGGTCCCAGTGCGTCCACAATTTGAAGGTGTGTATCCTAGTGAAAGTCCACGATTGCCGGTATTTACACACGCACCCACACCCAGACACACATACATAATATAGCGATATGTAAGTGATGCGCTGTCGCGTGAAACAGAGAGGGCGCGTGTAATAAGAAACATAATTATTTGTACATGTAACACCATCCAAAAGTGGTGGGAATTACGTTTTTAAAAGATATTTTTGGGGTAACAAAATACGTGACTCGCGAGTCAGCGAGTCCGAGTCTATAAGAGCGAGTCTCTTGGTGATGTGACTCCAGTCGAGTCCGAGTCACTGAAATTGTGACTTGAGTCCGAGTCTTGGACTTGAGTCCTACAACAATAACAGTGATTGTAACTATATGACAATAATTGTAGATCAGCTAAAATTGTATGTATTTGTCAACAATATAAGATTGGAACGCATGTAGATATTTTAGTGTAAAGCTTTTTATCATGTTTTTCGAAAAGGCTTGTGAAATTGAATTTGCTTTCTGTAGGCCCAATCATGGCATAGCTTTTGCTGATGTGACTCGAGTCGAGTCCGAGTCACTGAAATTGTGACTTGAGTCCGCGTACTGGACTCGAGTTCTACAACAATAACAATGATTGTAACTATATGAAAATAATTTTAGATCAGTTAAAATTTATTTCATTTAATTGTTCACAATATAAGATTTGAACGAATGTAGGTATTTAGTGTAAAGTTTTTTATCAGGTTTTTTAAGAGAGTATGCGACATTGGAACTGCACAAAATGAAAACCTAGAAAAGGAGGCACATAATTAGACACTAAAGCATCAGTAATGTAGCGGGATCCTACTGGGCTCTTGTCCGCCAAATCCGGCCAAACGCAAGAAAAGGGGACAGACAGACGGGATTTCTAACTCTGAAGGAAGATCTCATTTATTTCGCCAAGCGGAGTCTGCGGGCAACTTGCCGCACCGCTACCAGAACTGCAACTGATCAATTCCCAGCATAGACATTCACACAGTCTGAACAAATGTTTACAATTGTAGCAACTTTATCCAACCCTGGAATCAAGCCAAGCCCTACCCGCGAAAGTGAACAAAAGAACCCCACTTAGCCAACCTATTTAAACAGCCTATTTCCGGAGCGCGCGGCCAGCCAGACCCAAAACCAGGTCAGGTGCGCGCCGCCGGAGCCCCTCCGCCGGAGCACTAGTGCTAGAAAGCAATGACAACAAAAGTGTGCATAGACTGTTCGTTACACTACCCCCTCCTTAAATTGGGCCTATTCTCCTGAATAGGGGAACTATACAACTTATTTTACATGAACTTTTTTTTCTTTAACCCAACATTTGGTGTCCTCAAAGGATGTGGAGCAACGTTGATCTGGTCCCCAAAATGGTTACTCAGATCAAACATTAATCCAGCAATCCATGATGACAACCTCTTCAAAAGGGAAACATTTTAGAAACAACATGAGAAATCAAACACTTTACTTTGTTTATCAATGGGTGTCCTCAATGGAAGTTGATCAGCGTTGATTCTAGTCCCCAGACTGGTGCACAGAATCAAACAATGATACAACAAACCGTGACGACTAGCCTACCTTACAACAATTTCAACACATTCTTTTACAGTTTTTTTTCTTGTTCACCTCACTTGGAAACTGTCCTTTATGACCTCACTATTTCACAAAACAATGTCCATCCAAGAGAGAACTTCTTTCCAGTCTCTGTCCTTTGTGCACTTCACAAGCTTCAGAGTCTTCAGCCGAGTACACAGGTCACATCGCTGTACTCCTGCCATCTGGTCGTTGACTCCCCAACCTTGCTTTGGCCCCGTTGTCTTCCGTGGTGTCTGTCCACGCACTGTTGTCGTCTCCGGCGGCCTCGTCTTCTGTGGTGCACCCTGCACCGGCGGATTCCCAGCCTTTGACGCTCCCTGCATCAACGGGTATCCTGTCTTCTGTGGTACTCCCTGTACCTTCGGCCTCGTCTTCTTTGATGCGTCCTAGATCGCCGGATCCGCAGTCTGCTGGCTTACCGTTCTTGTCCCTTTCACGTGCACCTGCGGTCTGAAAGTCAATGTCGTTGCTTGCTCCAGCGGGGCTGCTTTCGCCGGGGGATAGTGCCGCTCCGGCTCGGTTGCCGTCACCTGAACATGAAGGTCAGTGTCTTGTGGTCGATTGTCCGTGGTCTGAGTTGCTGTCCAGGCAGTACGGCGGTCGATGAGTTCAGCGTGCTCCGGCTGATCGGCATGCACCAGCGGAGCCGTCCACAACGGTGGATCAGTGTGCATCGATTGAGATGTCAGCAACGATGGAGCTATCGATGTGCAGCTTAAGTCCTCCGCAGCAGTTGGATCAGGACAGGAAAAGTCGGTGCATCCATGAACCTCGATCCGATGGACAGCCGCCATGCTCGCCAGTATCACGGGACGGGGCTCCACGTCAACAGCAGGGCTATCATCGCTCGCCCCGGCCTCCCTACTCGTGGTCTCCCGATTCACGCGACAACCCGGCCTAACATCAACTTCTGCCCCCGGACCGCTGAACAGGCTTGCTCGTCGTTCATCTTCATCCTGATCCGCACTGGTAGAATCATCGGAGCTGTACATCGCTTCCAATTCGGCGATCATTTTATTGATCCTCTGCGACACACCTACCGCTGCTCCAGTGGCCTGTGGATGAATTCTGTCCGAGGAATGGGCTGATCCACAAATCTGCCGCTCCAAGGAGTCTCCCACCTTCAGAACGTCAATGATGACATCGTTGATGGCGTCCACGATCTAATCTGCGGCTATGCTTTCCGTCATTTCCAGTCGGTCCAAAATCCCGTCAATATCCCACCGCTGCCACCATTTGTAGCGGGATCCTACTGGGCTCTTGTCCGCCAAATCCGGCCAAACGCAAGAAAAAGGGACAGACAGACGGGATTTCTAACTCTGAAGGAAGATCTCATTTATTTCGCCAAGCGGAGTCTGCGGGCAACTTGCCGCACCGCTACCAGAACTGCAGCTGATCAATTCCCAGCATAGACATGCACACAGTCTGAACAAATGTATACAATTGTAGCAACTTATCCCAGCCCTGGAATCCAGCCAAGTTCTTCCCGCGCAATTGAACAAAAGAACCCCACTTAGCCAACCTATTTGTAGAGCCTATTTCCGGAGCGCGCGCTAGCCAGACCCAAAACTAGGTCAGGTGCGCGCCACCGGAGCCCCTCCGCCGGAGCACTAGTGCTAGAAAGCAATGACAACAAAAGTGTGCATAGACTGTCCGTTACAGTAATAATTTGCATGTAACTAGCACTGTTGAATATTTAAACACCTTTCGCAATATTCATTCATCGACTGTCATCTGTTGCTATGGCAGCGGATGAACAACTTACCGTCAATATTAAATGATTAAACGCACAAAGGGGTTTGAAATGGTTGGCAGGATTTCGCCCCTTTGTTTAAAATTACTGGCTACGCCTGTGAGACCAAGGCAGTGAAAACCAACGATAATTGCAGCCGTGAATATGATTTGCAGTGAAAAGCAAATCACAAAACCTGTGCAAGCCAGTAGACCTATGCGATGAGATTCACTGACAACACTGACAAAGTGCAATCTCTGGGAAATATGTTGTTGTAAGACAGAGGAACCATCCAACATGACTCCACAGTCTGTTAATTTAACCGAATCGTTGAATGGCGAGCCAACACCTCAACTGGACCCGTTGGAGGTTTTCGTCTGCGTGTTAACAGCTCTGACAGTCGTTTTGATTCTGACTCTCAACCCGATATGCCTTGTGGTGCTTCATCGCGCCAGCGGAATCCAAGAAACGACCAAGGTGTCCATGGCTTCACTCACCGTGTCTGATATCTGCGTTGGGCTGTTGTGGGTGCTCCCGCAGCTAACACAAGAATTCAACGGGGAATGGGTGTTGGGTTCTTTCCTGTGCACCGCCTGGGGTGTTTTATTTCCACTTCCTGCTGGACTGGGTGTCCTTTCGCTTGTTCTCCTGACAGTGGATCGCTTTGTTGCTATCGTCTACTCGCTGCGCTATCCGACACTGATGACTTTGAAGAAAGCAAAGATAATTGTCGCCATCACGTGGAGCCTGGCATTGGCATTCTCCATAATTGTATGTGGCATCCTTTTACCACGTGCCATATCTCCGGTGGAACCTCGTACCTGCGTTCTCAAGTCATCAGCCTACAAATTTTATAATGGGATCATTGTGGTCATATTTGCAATCTCCCTTCTAACAATTGTCATCCTCTACTTGTACATTCTTAAGGTTGCCCGTCAGCAGGCACGTCGCATCGCCGCCCAGAATCAGATCAATGTTGATAGGGGTGATCGGAGGGCTCCGCAGAGAGTCAGCACAAAGTCGGCTACCACGGTGTTCATCATAACCATTACGGTCTGCATATGCTGGACCCCGTTAATCCTCCAAAGAGCGACTTACTCAATCGTTGAAGAACTGCAGTCCTTTAAGTTTCACTTAATTACAAACTTGATCTTTTTCACCAACAGTTGGCTGAATGTGGTCATTTACTATCTGAGAAACAGGGAGCTTCGGCAAGCCCTGCATGAGTTGCTAGCGTCATGCTTTCGCCGGCGATTCTAAAAGAAAAAAACCGCGTATCACTTTTTCTTACTTAACCGCAGGAGGCACCAAAGCACGAAAACTTATCTAAACTGTATATGGGTTGACCATTGGACGACACATCCTTGTTGATAACATTATTGCCTGAACAGCTGGAACTTTGGCTAATGGGACCAACGATGGGCTAATGTGATGATGCAAACTTTGGGTTTTTTTTTTTCAACTAGAGATTCAGTAAAAGTAAGAGCGCTTTGTAAATGTAAACTCGATGGAGAACATTCAGCATCGACGTTTGACTATTAACAATATTGTAGTCGAGTCATTTGAGTCGAGTCCTAGTTTCGAGCTACTTTCAAGTTCGAGTCGGAGTCACGAGTCATTTGCCGATGTGCATCGACATGCGTTGGGCGACGTTCATTAAAGCTATAGTCCATCATTTGCAGCCATCCGAAAAGTAACTGGCGTAATTATTGTTGAAAAACATA